ACACAGACAATGTACAAGATCTATTTGTTTAATGTTAACAGCCAGTTGGGTAATATCCATTATTATGATAGGGGTGGTAGAACTGGCCATTATAATTAGTGTAGGCGAAATGAGGTGTAGGCGATATGAGACGACCCCTCCTATTTCTTTTTTTTTATAGTGACAGTGAGACTCTATGGTAGCTACATCCTTAATAGTTTCAGCATGAAAGTTATTATTTTCTTACGTCAGCTATCGTATATAATGAAGGTTAGTCTAATGGGCATTAAAAAAAGTGTCCTTTGTAATAAAATATCATCGCACACTGATTTGCATAAAGCCATGGTCTGTTCAAAATAAGTCGCTTTGGAATTAAAAAAAAAAAACATTGATCATTTCCTCTCCATTAATCGCTCCTCTGTAAAGTCCTTTTAAACGTTTCCTATCTCCCTACCACTGAGACTGTAGTTAGGCCGAACTTAGTTTAACAGATGTTTCACACTTTCACATGTCAATTACATAAATTGTAGAGATAAATGTGAAAAGACATTTTTCTATTCCCGACAGTACTTTAGTAAACACACAATCAATAAATATTACGGGATCGGGTGATTTGGTTGACACATGTCATCGGTTCCCAAATGCGTAGATCGATTATTTACACACCGCCGCCATATAGCTGGAATATTGCTGAGTGTTTCGTAAAACTAAACTGATTCACATAAGAAATATTACTTTTGAAATACATCAACCTAAAGAGATTGTTATTGTGTGTTACATTTCGCCCGCCCGCCACCCCTATATCATACTGGAGTTATCATGACCACTCATTAAAAACAGCCGTTGACATTTCATCAAATGTGATTATCGTCGGAGACCTGTAGTAAGATTTGTAGACTATCACGATACTTTCACGATATACTGGTGAGTAAAGATTTACGAAATTTCATTCAAGAGTCAACAGCTTTATGCAAACCTCGGCCACCTTAATTATATACTACCCATCAAAAGTTTAGACTCAGTTATGGCAATGTCAGTATCTTGGAGGAAAATAGCAATCGTGTTCAAAAATCAGCAACAAACACAACATCACTCATTTATGGTTTTAATCCGTATGAAATGAGGACGTGTACATTCCTCAAAACTTTTGTAAAGAACCGTAAACATGGGTACTGTGAAAAAGTGTGTTTCAAAAGTCAATAATGGGTATGTCCCCCCCTGGCTCTGGCACAAGCATCGCACCGACGTCTCATGCCACGTACCAAGTATCCAAGCTGCCTCTGGGGGATGTTCTGCCACTCTTGTAACAAGGCATTTCGAAGCTGGTCAAGGTTAGCAGGGGAGGAACTCTGGCGTAACACGGCGTCCCAGCATGTCCCACACATGCTCTCTGGGGTTGAGATCGGGTGATAACGCTGGCCATTCCATACGATTAACCCTGTTCTGCTGCAACCACGCTGTTACGATGCGAGCTCTGTGGGGCCTAGCGTTATCATCTTGCAGAACAGCCTGGCCCTGGCATGGCCCGCAGGAAAGGAAGCACCACAGGAGCGAGAATCTCATCGCGATACCTCTGACCCGTCAAGTTCCCATCCACTACCACTAAATCGGTTCGTCCAGTCATTGAGATACCGCCCCAGACCATAACGGACCCACCTCCAAAATGATCGTGTTCAACAACGTTAGCGTCAACGTAACGTTCTCCTGACGTCTGTACACAGGTATTCGGCCGTCGTTGAAGTGCAGTTTGAACCTGGATTCGTCGGTGAACAAACACGTGACCATCTGCCTGCACCCCATCTCAAATGCCCATTAACCCAGTCCAATCGAGCCCGACGGTGACGTGGTGTAAGAGGGGGCCTAACGGCAGGACGTCTTGCACGCAGTCCAGCTCGACGTAACCGGCGCCTTATCGTGGATACAGAAACATGACGTCCAGTGGCGTGTCTGAACGTATCGTTTACTGAGGTGGCTGTGATGTGTCGGCTCCTGAGAACGATCAATCGGATGTAACGATCATCCTGTTGCGACGTCACTCGTGGCCTACCCGATCTTGGCCGATCCTGGACAGAATTCGTCTGTTGAAAGCGTGTCCAGAGGTTGGAAATGGCCTTCTGGGATACACCATGACGCCTGGCTACATAACGTTGTGATTTCCCATCTTGTAAGAGTGCCAAGGCTTCATGTCGTTTTATTTGACAAACTTCTCCCTCGACCCATGCTGACGGAGAAGTGAAATTTGGCCCCTACCCTCACTGAATCAATTTCAAACCGTGTACAGGTGAAATGCACGAGGTTCATACTGCAACATGTTGTGATGCACGTGCTCACACCGTGCATGCTCATGGCTGCGTTTGGCTGACAATTTCATGACATTTTCATCATTTTCACCAAAATTGTACCAGGTATGGATTTCAAAATCCTTAGGCATCAAGGCTACGAATATGCCGAACAGTATTTCGAGTTATGCCTTATTCCACACATGTGAAAAGTTCATTAGTTTCGGGCTATTCAAGTAGTCAAAAGTTAATTGAAATAGGGTAATCTGTTAACAGGGGTGAGTCTAAACTTTTGATGGGTAGTATATTAATATATTATATTGTTACAAGGACAGAAGCACGGGATATGTAAAATGTTCATGGGTCGATATCAGTGATCACAAGGGAGCTTTTGCTACCCCTCTCCACTTTGATTAACTTAACAATTAATCAATCAATCAATCAATCTTTATTCCCCTTTTTAACCACCCACGGTGGTACAAGAGCACTGGCTATATATTGCACATAGATTTGATTACATTGTTGGAAGGTCGTTGCATCATTTACAGTTCCAAATAATGAGATCTACTTTGAGTGAAGGCAGAACATCTAAATAGTAAATGGAATCCATCAGCTGTTGAAGGTGATTTACAGAGATGGCAGGTTCTATCATTTTGTGAGATGTGTCAATACACAAGCGAGCTGCTTCTGAACGAGTAAACCAGTTGATTATTCCACAGACCGAGAACTAACGTGTAACATCTGGATGTCGTTCAGCCAAGTTTGACACACATTAGCCCAAAATTACAAAATGAATGGGAAATAATAAGGGATAAGCTCTGGTTTAACGGCGACATCTGGTGAGTGAGTGAGATTGTGTTTATGCCGCTTTTAACAATACATTGTATTCCAGCTATATCATGGCGGGGGACACAAGAAATTTGGCTTCATACATTGTGGTGAACAATCCGCTTGAGAGATAAAAAAGCAAGAATATCACAAAATACAAACGAATTTATGAGGTACAATAAGCACTTGTGGAGGGAATATAACTTCCACTAAAGTTAGTATGAAAAAGGTAACGTGAATAAATACCTAAAGAAATTGTTCAACTCAAATTGATACCAAACATCCCCTTAACCTAACCACAAAACCAAACACTAAGTTATACTTTCACATTGATGTTGAAATTCTTCTTTGCTTGACAATAATGCTTCTCCGTTCTCATTTTGCCCTAGTTTCGTAACTCTTGCACCCGAACACAGCAATATTAATATTGGCGTCCTACATCTGGGTAGCACGGTATGCACGATACACACCTTATGAACACGCCCAACTGTGCACGAGACAGCATATTGGAGGGGTACAAAACAAACGAAAATATTTTGCTGCATCTATTTTACCAGATGTTTTCAACCATGTCAGGCAAATGGGATCCTTTAGGCGATGTCTCTGTCACTCAAAATACATTTTCCGAAGCTACAACTTTGAATGTGAGTGACATTAATTCAGATTTTTAGGAACTTTTGAATGGAAGAATTTCGAGTGTCAGTTTTGATATCACTCTGCAAGGGGACAAAAATCATGTAGATACAATTGGGAATAGTACTTCGGATGAGGAATTGCTGCGTGAGTCGCAACACCTAGAACAGGAATTTGACCAAATGAATAGATCAGCAGATGATGAACTGATGCTTGCTTCTCAGCAGATAGAAAAAGAAAATGATCAAACAGCTACCAAACGTTTTGGCAAACCCCTCTCAGTTTCTGAATATCAAAACTTGGAAAATCCTGCAAAAAATATACATACAGAAAAGAAAAGCCAGTGGGCAGTGCGGATTTTCGATACATCGCAACGTGAAAGGGATCATGGGTTTGAATCCGAGTTAGGAAGCAAATTATTAAGTCTTTTTGATGAGGATCTGAATAGAACGCTGCGTCTATTTGTCACAGAAGTAAGGAACTAAAGGGGAGGTCAATACAACGGTAACACAATTCATGAGATTCTTATTTCGATGCAGAGATTCATGCGCCAAAGTGGTTGAGATGTTAACCTAACCACCGATTTTGCTTTTATGGGTTTGAGAACCATTCTTGATGCTAAAATGAAATCACTGGCCCAGGCTGGTATTGGCATGCATAGAAGGCGAGCTAACGTCATCACACCACAGGAGGAGGATGTGTTGTGGGAGAGGGGTTTGCTTGGGGATGACACTCCGGAGAAATTGCTTGAAACCGTTTTTTATTTGAATGGGATAGACTTTTGTTTACGAGGTGGGGACGAACATCGTGCTCTAAAAGTAGGTGAATGTTCAAACTTCTGTGTTGTTACAAGAAACAACAAAAACAATTGGTATACTCTGTAGGGGTTTCCAAAACGAATTCAGGAGGGCTGAAACATAAAAGATTGTCTGCTAAGGTCATTTCAGTGGATATTAATGAAGAGAAACCTGCCCGTTGTCCAGTTAGACTTCACCAAAAGTACATGTCACTGAGGTGAGTGAATAATTTAGTGATTACTGAAAATCTTAAAATTGAAAAACATGTGAAATTCATATCGTTTTTAAAAAAAATAGCTTTTTATACAAAAAAACCCCACGGAGACGGCTACAGTGAAGCTTGTAAGCAATGTATGTACCACTTGATTGCAGGCCGATGGGTTGTGATTACTTTTACCTTCGTCCACTCAAGTATCCTAAGCCTAACCAGTGGTACTCTGCCGCTCCTATAGGGAGACACGTGCTGTCTGGGGTGGTCAAGAGGCTCTGCGCCAGGGACGGATTTGAAGGATTTTATACAAACCACTCCCTAAGGGCTACAACGGCCACACGCCTGTATGAGAGCGGTTTGGATGAGCAGCTGATTGCCGAAGGGACAGGTCACAGATCGACAGCTATTCGTGCGTAAGTATAGGTGTAATTGCATTTGAAATAATCACATACTGAACAACAGGTTGATTTGATGACAAATGGGAAACTGGTACAATGGGACATATGTGCACTGTATTTAATGACTATTAATCACGCCTAAGGGCGGTGAGGTAGCCTAGTGGTTATAGTGCCTGTGGTGCGGGTTCGATTCCACACACAGGCACAATGTGTAAAGCCCATGCTTTGTGTCCCCTGCCGTCATAGTGCTGGAATATTTGCTGAAGGATGTGTAAAGCCAAACTCACTCGTTAACAATCACTCGTAAAATGTATATCAAAATTTTAGTGAGGGAGTACTGAATAATTATGTGCTATATACAATACAGGTACACGAGAACAAGCGAGGGCATGTTAAAGATTGTTGATGATGTTGTCCAGAGGAAAACACAAGCAATTGCCACGGCAACTAGCTCGCCAACACCTCACGTCTCCGACACCACTGACCCCAAGAGACGTCAAGACGCCAACTGTTCAAATGCTAAAACTGTACACTTCGTTGTTGAACGGGACGGTGCAAGAGTGACATTTGACATGTAATAAAGGGATGAAAACATTGTGAGGTTTCGTTTCTATATTTTGGTAATGGCTGACTGACTGAGTTTAGTTTTACGCCGCTTTTAGCAATATCCCAGCAATATCACGGCGGGGGACACCAGAAGTGGGCTTCACACAATGTACCCATGTGGGGAATCGAACCCGTGTCTTCGGTGTGACGAGCCAAACGCTTTAACCACTAGGCTACCCCATCGCCCTATTTCTGTAATGTGGGTATAACTGTTTGAATTCAGCGTTTGGACCGGGTCGGTAATAGGGCGCCAAAATTTGAAAGTAGGGCGCCAATACACCAGATAAAGTCGCCAATATACGAAGCTAAGTCGCCAATAAACGAAAGATACGGGCTTCCCATCCCATGCTTATTGGAGTGATATGTTGTGTAATGGAGGCAATTTTAGCTTTAATACATGTTTAAAACCCTTCAACTTAGTGAAGTCAACTTATAATCCAGTTTGAATAATACATGTTTAAAACCCTTCAACTTAGTGAAGTCAACCTATAATCCAGTTTGAATAATACATGTTTAAAACCCTTCAACTTAGTGAAGTCAAATTATAATCCAGTTTGCAATATTGAAAAGGAATCTGATAACAAACTCAACAACTAGTCTATATCGTCATTTCATCTTGAAATAATATATTTGACATAGTTCCATAGTAGGCTATTTTTGCTTCGTGACAGAGTTGCTTGAAAGTTCAAGCCATTACTTCAGTGTTTCAGTGAACGCTACGACAGTTTCATCAATTCCTTGAGGATGGGTGAGGTGAGGTGAAATTGGGTTTAACGTCTTTTGGTATCACGCGGTCGGGGATGGAACCCGCGACCTTCCGCTCTCCGGGCAGACGCTCTAACCACTACACCACGGAGGCGGTCCTGGAGGATGGGGGGTTGGTTGGTAGCCTATTGGTTAAAGCGTTAAGTCGTCACACCAAAGACCCGGGTACTATTCCCCAAATGGGTAAAATGTGCTAAACCTCTTTTCGGTCACTGCAGTAGTGATATGCCTTGAATATTGATAACTAAACAAATTCACACGCTCCTCAGGGTGTATTATTTCTTTGAGAGCTTTCGTTAGAAACCCCATGTAAAAACAACACTATACACCACGGTTTACTACCCACACTACCAGGACGGCGAATAGCCTGTGTTTAGATGAGATATCCTCGGGCTCAAGGACATTGTTCTGTGAAATAGATATAACTTCACTCTTCAGGTCTTAAATGTTTCAATTTTAGGATACTTTTTAAGGTAATTCTGGGGGAAAATCATGACAAAAAATCTCAGCTGCACTAATACACCACGGATCTTTATGTGCAAATACATTGATTCAGAAACGACCGGTCACCATTTGCGAAAGTTTGTATGTGTAATGCGATGACAAATCTCGGGATTGTATCGGAGGTGAAAACGAAAGTACTCTGTATCAAGTCAATGATCGTCTAAATAATACTTTTGAGTACATGTACATACATGTACTTAGAAATAGAAACACATATACTAGCCGTTTGTTTAGATGCTGGACGGACACACAAAATATTTATATGTTTGGGTAATTCAAGTTTCATAGTGAAAACAAGTTGATATGGGACATATGCTTGTTTACTCATGGCCTCGAGTCCTCACAGAGTTACCTCCCTTACACCGCTTCAACCACCTGCGAAATATTCATTCATCTTGTATGAAATGTGTTGATGCTGTTGTAAAAGATACAGTTAATATGCAATGATGTTTAATATTCAAACCTTTAATTTTACAGTTAGCAAAAGACAAATATGACTGAAGATTATATCTCTCTGTTGGGACTTTGGTAAACAATTTAATTTAAAGTCTCATTCGCTCACCCGACAGTCCCGACACCTCCCTTCATCTCCCCTATCAACTCACCCAGCCACCCGCTCACTCACCACGTCGCCCAGCTACTCTAATATTTTTTTAGTTTAGTTTTACGCCACACTCATCAATATTTCAGCTATATGGCGGCAGTCTGTAAATAATCGAGTCTGGACCAGACAATCCAGTGATAACAGCATGAGGATCGGGAGAGAAGTGTACAAACAGGTTGTCACAGCTTCCCGCACAGAGTTACTTCCCTTTGACCACAGTGCTTCGAAACAGTCTAAAGGTTCTCACAATCAAGTGAGTGAGTATGGGTTTACCCGTTTTTAGCAATATTCCAGCAATATCACGACGGGGACACAGGCAATGGGCTTCACACATTGTACCCATGTGGGGAATCAAGCCCGGGTCTTCAGCGTGACGAGCGAACGCTGAACCACCCAAACGCCCAACGATCAAGTCGGAGACATATATAGTGTATCTGCTCTTGCAATTGTTAGTGCATTTTTTGCGCTGCAGAATAAATAAGTTGTCATTAAACACATGCCGAAACTACGGTCAATGCTTTTCTTTCTTCAATACCGTTTCTGTAGTGTTAGAACAGATATTTGAAATCTGCCATTTCTGCTTCACTAAATCCAAACGTTGTTCAAGTGTAGATTTGAAACACTTCTTACAGACAACAAAACCCAGGTAATTAGGAAAACAAAATATTCTGCGAACTTGACTGTATTCGGAATATGCGTCTCACCATGTACACGGGGACATTCTATGTCCGCTTCAATCACTTTCACCACATCTCTTCACTGACATCAAATGTGACGTATGTGGATTCACAACTACAATAATTTCATCACAACTGTTCATGTGGGGATTTAAAACATTTACTTTACAGAGTAGAAACTAAACATGGCAATAAATTCATGATTTGAAACAACTTTTGATGAATTTGTGGATTCAGTTATTTGTTGTGACATTTCCCAGACATGTATGAAATGTATGATAAACTGGTCAACTACTGCAGAATAATAATCATAACAATAGTCATGTGTGGATGTAAAATGTTTGTAACATCCCCCTGAATCCAGTCAAGTAGAAAAACAACACATACAGCTGACCTCGTTACATTCTTGTACACAACAAACAGCACATAGACAGACAACTTATACGTCCGCCTCAATCACTACAATTACATTTGACAGTTTAAATAAATATGTCACACTTACAAGTTTACACAATGTCATGTTTATTTTATTGTCTAATTCAAGGCGTCATAAATAAGTGACTTCTTGGTGTCAGTCATGGTGATATCTGCCCCACTTATCACCTTCATGTTGACTGTGTAGTAATCTGGCGGCCCAACACCAAACATGGGAAGAAGAGACTCGCTCCACTCACCATCCACCTTGGCTAAAACAACCTCTCTGTTGAGGTCTATGAAGGCGAGTCTCCCCCTACCCATATCCAGCACAATGCCATAGTGGAGGGTGGCCTGTGTGCCGGGTGTGTTAGACATTGTGTTACTGTAACACTCCCCCCGCTTCCCCTGCTGCCACACCCTGGTACAGAGACTCGCCTGGTGTGTGTCACAGCTCCGTACACTGACACACCAGGAGCGGCGCTGGTGACAAACATACACCTCACTGTCTACCTGGCTCTCCTCTATCACACCCATCTCCAGGACAAGCCACCAGAACCCTCTACCCACCACACCCACCCTAGAGTGTGTCTCCCAGTATCGTGGTGTGTGTGGGACAGGGGTGACAGTAGAGGGGGGTGGAGGAAGGGGGATCGGGGTGGAGGCACATGTACCCCGATATTTCTGTAACCTGCCGCTGTTTCTGTGTTGTGTGGCGGACGGCGAGTTCACCAGCTCACCACCTGTAGTTACGTGGCACCTGTCTGTGTTGGCTCGATCAGCCGACAGTTGTAGTTTAGGACCTGGAAATATACATTTTGTTTACACTTTAACAAATTTCCCGACTTCAGACAACATATTAGACATTTTATTGTCAACCTCGTTTCAATGTTTACAAAACAGCGCACTGAATATCGGCTGTCAGTTTCGTCTGTGTGTGAAATGTGTCATAATTGTGCTTTAAATAGAAATTATAAAGCTGTAAAAATATTTGTATGGGTATTCTAAATGTTTTTTTTATACATTTTTATATTGATTGACAATGAAATAAACACTCTATGAAACATTTCGTCAGAAATTGTTAGTTGAGCTGGTTAGCTGTCAGTAGTCAGAAATATACACTTGCCGCCTGAAAACACATATGTATACATTTCATATCATGATAAAACTATCATTGTTAGTATTCTAAACTCTTCTTATACGATTTACTAAACAATAAGACCGACAAAGCAGTTGTTTGACGATATTTTTACATCTGAGTGTTCAACAGACACAGTGTCGACAGGTAACTTCTACGTCCGTGTTTTATGTATCGACTGTGACATGTAGTCTCACATTTTATGAATTTTATTACACAGTTCTCAAACTTGTTATTTTCAGATATCATTACCCTTTTCGTTACAGATTCACCAAGAAATATAACAAAACAGAGAACCCGGAAGACAGCCTACCTTATCGTTCATTCACACAAGTTTTGACTAATATGGTAATGGGTAAACATTAATCTTTAACGATGTCATATGAATCTTATTTCCTAACACTCCTTATCTTATGTCCTCATACATAAATGGGGTAAAACACGTTAACTCAATCTAGTAAATATTCAATTAACATAAAATCTTCAATTTTCATCTTTGAATAATGATCAAGCACTTTCAGTACTGTTACTCCTCAGTAAACTGTATTATCAGCCTCCTTGCTGAGCGGAGCAATATAACTCCGTGGATGTAATATGCTGCTTCAATATAATATTCATTGCAGCACATCATTTTTGCATTTTATTGTTATAATTCTAGGCTTTCATCTTACACAATTCATCGGCATTAAACAAACTGACACTAGCAATTGGTAGTTAATTTTATGATGTACAATAGACATTATAAGATAAGCTGTTTGTTTAATTTGTTAAAGGTAATGAAAGGAATTTTCTGGGCCTAGCCGTTAGTTTAGACAACGGTGGAACAGTTTTAAACTAAACAGAGCCAATTCAGAATGTCATTATTCACCGTGCCGAGAATAGACAGT